GTTCTCCCACTCTTCGCACGCTCCCCTGCGTAAAACAGCTCAGCTCCGTGCTTTTACGCCACCGGCGACCGGTGCTGGTTAATCCAGGAGAGCTGGAGCGGAACAGCCTCTGTCAGTGATGGAGAGAGGTGGAAAAACAGGCCGGCACGGAGCTTTCCTCCCCGCACGGGAGACAAAGGCGCCGCTGTAACGTCGGCGCCAAAGCTGCTGCCTCACAACAGGGCCGCTGCAGCCACAGCTCTGCTGAGAGGAGGCAGCATCAGAGCCCACAACGTTTGGGGGGATAAGGGAAGCCCTCCCCAGTACAGCAGTGGTGTAACCCCCCTGGGATGCCAGTGTCTGCACAGCCCTTTGAATGCCTCGGCAGGAGAAGGGACGAGGGACAAGGGATGAGGCTCCCCCCGAGCCGTGCATGCTTCTTACCCTCGTGAAATGCCGTGTGCAGGAAGGAGTCGTCAAAAAGCAGGCAGCGACCCTCAGCCCAGCACTGGGGCTCGCCCCCCACCACCAGCTCACAGTTGCTGGGCGTCTTCAGACCTTTGGGCACAGAGAGAGAGCACAGGGAGGGTCAGGGGGAGGAAATGCTGCACCGGGACATGAGAAATGGCTGCAATTCCTGGCTGTGCCATGAGCTCCTAATTTCACATCACATCACTCAGCGTCTCCCTTGTCACTCGGTTCCCCCCCAGCAGCTGCAAGGACAGAAATGCAGGGGAGGGTCGCAAAATTCCCCATAGGGCAGAGGCTCTGTGAAAGCCACATGAAGAAGAACAATCCTAGCAATAAAATGTTGTATTTTCCTAAATACTAGCACAAGTCAGGCCAGGCTGAGGGTCAATCCCACCATCCCTGCATCACAAATGTCACACTCCAGTGCTGGGGACCACTGGAACCAACCCGCCCTGAGGATGCAGCCGTGGTGGGGGAAGGGGTCAGGGCTCACGCAGTTCGTGAGCGGTAACGATGCAGCAAATGAGCAGGAAAGGATTTCACAGCGATGCCAAAACCCAGCGAGCACAGCAGGGACTCCCAGCTGCAAAAGCTGCTCTGCTTTTCTAACGGATGTTTCAAAGCCTACCAAAAAAAAAACCCCAACCCAAAGCCATTTCCCTGCACAACGGCCTCAGCTGGAGAGGCTGCGGCTGGGAAGGGGGAGCTCAGCAGCACCCAGCAGCGTCCAAGCCCTTCCCTTGCACCCCAGGGATGCTGCCCTGCGCTCAGCCCTGCATGTTCGACAGAGCAGCAGCAGGGCTGGGGTAAAACGGTGCCGTGTCCTGGCTGGAGTGAGCAGATGGAGCTGGAAAATGCAGAAGGAGAAGGAGATGACCCACATCACTTTACTACCCAGCTCCACACTGCCAGGGCAGGGTCCATCCGAGCCAGCCTGGACCTCGTTGCGCTGGCCCCTTCCCAGGCACCGCTCTCGGCCCCTCGCACCTCCCAAGCCTAAATAAATGGCCCATCACTGCCGGAGCGTGTTTACCCAGGAGGAGTTGGCTGAACAAGCGCTCGGTGCTTGCCAGCGCAGCCCGTGCCGTGCCACCCCCGCGGCAGAGCCCGGCCATCTGTGCCCCCCGGGCTGTCCCCATCCCGCAGGGCAGGGAGCACAGCGCTGCCAGCCAGCGCCTGCCCCGCCAGAGGGGACACCCCGCACCCCCAGTTTGCACCAAAGCAGCACCTCTGCTCACATCTCCTGTGCCATGCGTGCAGCACCCAAACAACCCTGGAGAGGGGGAGCGGCCAGGGGGGCAGCACCCAAGGGTGCAATGCATCTTGTGATGGGAGGGGGGGCTGCCTGCAGAGCAGGGGTCATTTGGAGACCTTGCATAAAATCAGCCCCATATCTTGCACTAGCAAAAGCCCCACGCCTCTGGGCCAGCAGAGGAGGCAGTGAATCGCTCCTGCTACTGAGCTGGGGACTGGTCGGGCACTGGAGGGGACACACAGAGCCCTGGCCTCTGTTTTTGCTGCTGCCAAAGCCCCAAAACTCCCCTCATGCCATGAGCCAGCCCTGGGGCTGCAATTAGCAGCTAAAACCCGAGAGCATGGGGTGCAAGAGGCCTTTTCTGGGCTCCTGCACCCAGGCACAGCTACAGCCCCCTTGCACCACCCGTAGCCAGGATGAAACCCCGTCCCAGGTGCTTACCTAGATGGCAGCGGATGCGGATGTTGGTGGGTCCGTAGTGCTCTGCGATGACGGTGCCCGGGCTCAGCACGGAGATGCAGGCGTTCCCAAAGACGTTGTTGCCGATGCAGGTGCGCAGGCTCCCGAGCAAGCGGTATGTCCGTGGGCACCTCCTGCAGTTCCTGGGCACGCACATGCCCTGGTTCACCAGGTAGAAGGTGAACCACTCCCCGCTCGGCGTGCTGTTCATTTTCCAGCCCTGCGGGAGGCTGCAGTTTGAGAAAGCTTTGTAGAGGGTCTCAAACTCGCACAGGATGGTCTGGAAGTTGCGCTCCAGCAACTCCACGTCATGCTTTTGAGCGTCCCGGGAGAAATAGGGCATGGTCGGCAAATCCGGCAAGAAGAAGACTTCTGGCTTCTGGATGGACGGCCGGCTGTTGAGGTAGCGGCCCTGCTCGCGGATGCCTTTGTGGATCCTGCCCATGCCGGACCAGGAGTAGCGCTTGGCGTACTCCTGCAGGTTGTGGTAGAGTTTCTGGTTGAGCCCGTCGTGGGGCGTGCAGCGCACGCACTCGGGCGAGTGGCAGTAGACGAAGCCGTTCTGCACGCCGTTGGCCTCCGCGCTCTGCATCAGGGCGTTGACGGTGGTGTAGGCGCGGGGCTGCTCCCGCCCCACGTGGTAGCAGTACCAGACGAAGAGGACCAGGAGGCAGGCGACAGCCACCACGGCTGTGGC